ATTTTCAATAACCTCATATGCATGTGAAAGCTGGTCAGTAAATAAGGAAGACCACAGAAGAATTGATGCGTTTCAGTTATAGTGTTGGAGGAAAATATTGAAAGTGCCATGGGCTGCCAAAAGAATCAACAGATCTGTGTTGGAAGCCAGAGTGCTCCTTGGCAGCCAGGATGGCCAAACTTCATTTCTCATGCTTTGGAAACAGTGTCAGGAGGGATCAGTCGCTGGAGAAGGATATCATGTTTGGTAAGGTGGAGGGTCAGAGAAAAAGAGGAAGACCCCTAACGAGGTGGATTGGCCAAATGGCAGCATTGATGAACTCAAGCATGGCAACAATAGTGAGGTTGACCCAGGACCGGGCAGTGTTTCGTTCTGCTGTGCATATGGTCGCTATGAGTTGGCACCAACTCGATTGCACCTAACAACAACAACAATATGGAGCTCTGGTAGCATAGTTGTTATGAATTGGGCTGTAAACCTTTAGGTCGGCAGTTTGAAACTACCATCTGTTTCGCAGGAGAAAGATAAGGCTTTCTGCTCCAGTAAAGATTTACAGCCTCAGAAAACCTGTACAGGGTTGTGATGAGTCGGAACCAATTCCACGGCACATATCCATCAACCAACATATTATGTATATATATTTATGTATATATTTATGTATATTAGGATGAATTAGAGCTGAGGACTCAGAGAGAAGCAGAGGTGGACAATATGGTAGAACACCAAAGAAGGTATTAATCAACTACAGCTGAAGGATTGCAGCTATAGATCCTAAACAATTTTGCAAGTCCTGGTGTGATGCTGTAGGATAAGCACTGGACTGTTAACCATAAGGTCTGTGGTTTAAACCCACCAGTCACTCCTTAGAAACCCTATACAAGGTTACTATGAGTTGGAACCAACTTGACGGCACTTAACAACAACAACAAGCCAAATGATAGTTTTTATGAAGTTTGTCTGTAACCCTTTTCCTCATAAGACCTATATGTGCTGCTGTGTTCCTGGGTTCTTGGCAGGACTGACCATGGGGCACAAAATACTTAATTTTTATTTCTATATATTTTAAAATATAAACCCCTTTCTGTAAGTAGCCTCAGTGAGTCAGTGTCCCTTTTAATTCAAAGCATCTAATTTGTCCACAGTGATATCTTCTGAATGTCAAGCAACCTATTTTGCCAAATGAGTGTGCTAAAGTTGAGAGAAGAACTCAAGTAAAATTTTATCTTTTTCCTTCTTTTTGTCTTTAAAAATTTAATAAAAGCAATATTGTTCATTTAAAAACTTACACAATACAGAATTGTTTAAAGTTAAACTGAAAGTACCTCTTTCTGCTTTATCCATCATCAAACTCCTACCTGGGAATATCCAACATAAACAGTTAAAAATGTGCTTTTACTATTTATTGTTATTTTAAAACATGTCATATACTTTTGGAAGTATGGTATACACTATATATGTTGTTGTTTTTAAGTGCTGTTGAGTCAGTTCTAACTCAGAGCAACCATGTACAGGGTTTCCAAGGAGTGGCTGGTGAAAATAAGGAAATAATTAAAATAGATTTTTAGTTGAGATTCTTGATTTAGCTTTATTTCTGAAATGTACTATTCTCCACACTTTAAATAAAAATGTCTGTTTTTCTTTAATATTTACAATATATTAGATAAGCTAACCATGTCACCAATGCATGTGTGGTGGTACTGTTCATATGCCACTGAGTCGATTCTGACTCATAGTGACCCTGTGTAGGGTTTCGGATGTTGTAAATCTTTATAGGAGCAGAAAGTCTCATCTTCCTCCTGGGGAGTGACTGGTAGATTCAAGCCACTGATCTTGTTGTTAGAAGCTCAGCTTGTAATCTACTATGCTACTGGGGCTCCTTAACAATGCACTGTTGTTATTGTTGTTAAGTGCCATCGACTAGGTTCCGACTCATAGTGATCATGCATGGGGTTTCTGAGGCCATAAACTATCAGGAGAACTGTAAGCTTTCTTTCTAATATGACATTAAAAAGATATAACACAATCCAAGTCATTCAAACCATATTGTTCTCTCTCAAATGGGAATTCCATTTGTGGAAGTTTTTACATATTCTTGTGGTATATTACTAAACATCTGTTAAAGAATGGAGGATGGCCCAATTCAATGCTCAAATCGGCAGCCAAAAGAAGTGGCACTCTACCAGTGAACATTTTGATTACCTATTCATGACACACAGAAAGATTAGTTCGTTGGTCTAGTCTACATCTCTCATCAAATCACTTCGTTCACAGTTTTCTCAACTGCTGAGCTCATTCTAAATATTTCCTGTTCCATCTTACTGTACTTATACCCTTCTGATCAATTCTGTTGTTGTTGTTGTTAAGTGCTGTAAATTGGTTCTAACTCTTAGTGACCCTGTATAGGGTTTCCAAAAAGCGACTGGTAGACTCGAACCACTGACCTTGCTGTTAGCAGTACAGTGCGTATCCTACAGTGTCACACCAGGACTCACTCCATCCTGGTCAATTCTAGGGGCATTCAAAGAGATCAAAGAATTGTTTCTTGCCTGAAATCAAAACTAGCTAGGAAGAGATCTTAATATAAAAAATAATCTTGGAAACTAATTTATCATTTCATTGCCTGTTTTTTGTTTGTGAATTTAAAAATTACTGACAGCTGGTCTGGCTCACACCCTTGTTAATCTTTGTGTGTCTGTGTGTAGGGGTGGTGGTTATGTTTTTAGTCTGACAAACTGATTTAAAGAACTAAAGACAGTATATCCAATTGGAAAATCATGTACAGAATTATTAAGGAGCTCTGGTAGCATAGTGGTTATGAATCGGACTGCGAACTGCAAGGTCAGCAGTTTAAAACTACCAGCTATTCTGTGGGAGAAAGATGAGGCTTTCTGCTCCTGTAAAGATTTACAGCCTCGGAAACCCTGCACAGGGTCACTATGAGTCGGAACTGACTCCACGACACATAACCAACCAACCAACCAACTAACCAACCAACCTTTAATTAAACATCAGACTTTAAGAAAAATCAATCTATAAAAAGTACCTTTTGGAAGAATGAAAGCAAAGATTCCCTACTATTATCCGTATAGCCAGCCTCTTCTGCGTGAGATCTAATCCTTTGTGCAATAGAGTCCAGCTCTTCATTTTCAAACAAGTCAGGTATTTTTCCCGATTTGAAAATACAGTTCAAATCTTCCAAAAATGACTCCTTAGGTGAAACATATATTTAATCAGGAGTGAGTACATTTTTCATAACCCTATTCTATACACACCATGCTAAGAAAAAAAAATAGTGATTAAGGAAAAGTGAGACTTTTTTTTTTTAATGCTAACATTCTCTTAATTCAGATCCATTAAAATACATTTTTTTCTCAGTTAAAATAAGTTTAATTCAAACACTAGACAGCATCTATTTAGTATAATAGTATGTCAAATACTGTGTTTAGCATTGGGCCAGAGGTATGGAGAGGTAGGTTACTATAAGGGATGGGGCAGAGAACTTGATTTCAAGCAGTTCATAAAGGCTTCAATACATACAGTCCTTTTGTATTTGTACAAGGATAGTAAACAAACTAGAAATAACATGGCTGAAGGATTATTTTAATTTAACCAAGATCATCTCCATAAAAGGTTCCTGTGTTAATGGGAAATGTAACAAAGGAGAAAGAACAGTGAAATAAACTCTACCAAAGTTATTATAAAAGTATGAGTCTCTTGCTTTGCTTTTGAAAGTAAATACAAATATTCTTTAAAAAAAAAAAAGCAGCAGTAGCCTTCCCTACTCCTCAGACACTCCTAGATTCAGGGTTTTTCAGTCCATGAAGAAAGGCAGAAAGGTGGTGGGTAGTCTCCAGTAGAGGTCAACAGTGGTGACATGGGCTAGCTGACTTCCTGTTTCCTTTATGACCTGATGAATCTGTAGTTACCAAACATTATCATTATATCACACTCTTTTAAATTCACATGGAAAAAACTAATATGACTAGAAGAAACCTGGAAAATATATTCAGTGGTCCTGAAATACTGAGTGATATGGGAGTCAAAGAACCATGGTCAATTCAACTTTGACCTGATCAGTAATGATTTTCTGAAAACTGATTTACTCAGTTAGGCTCTTGGCATGGAAGAAACTGTATCTTCTAAAATCCAGACAAAAATGTGTCCAGCAGAAATAAATTGCAACTTGATCAATAGAGTAGAAATTTTAATTTGGGGAGGGAGAATATAAAGATAAAACAGAAAAAACTGTATGGAATGGAGTACAGCACATATGACTTGAATTTATTCTTAAAATCTGAAAAGGAAAAAAAAATGTAGTTCTAGGGAAAGAGGTTCAGTATTAGGAGACAAAACAGGATGAGCATTAGAAACAAAACTCATACTTCACATGTTTATAAACATTTCTAGATCATGGATAATAATGTTCTCTTAAAATTTTGCCACAAAGAAGTAAATGTAATCTGAGATTATGGTTTTCTTAACTATATTTTGGTTTGTAGGAGGGTATGTTGCTGTTGTTGTTGTTAAGTGCTGTTGAGTCAGTTCTGACTAAAAGCAATCCTGTATAGGGTTTCCAAGGAGCAGCTGGTGGGCTGAACTACCGACCTTATGGTCTCAGTCTGGAGCTGATCCACAATGCCACACCAGTAACATTTATACAAATGAACAGATTTAGTAAAAGTGGTGGGTGCTTAGTATTTTTGATTGTTTGTGAAGAAAGTCTTAAACCTGAATTAGAACAGGAGAAAAACAGAAGGCCCAACACTATGAGAGCACACTGTAGATTACATGGTCAGACAGTGAATACAGATGACAAGTTTTTTCCTTTTAATGCAGATTACAAAACCAGTTTAGATATAAGACTGACTTTAGTTACCTAGATTTATCACTTCTAATTAAGTAGTTGAAATGCTTATATTGGAATGATTATTCAAAACAATCTACAGCATGATTATAAATATACGAACTCTGGGACCAGGACTGGATGAAGACAAAGAATAATACAATAATTGATATACTAGGTTAATAGGACTATCGAGAAATATTCCCTTACAAATTTTCTTTTTATAAAAAATAAATTTATTTTGGGCTATTCAAACATCAGACGTGAGAAAAAAAATAAAGATAAGAAGTGCTTACTTGATCTATGTTTAAATTAGAAACCATCAAAACAGTGGGGCTTCCTTCCAATCCTGTCTGAATGAACACTTTTTTGAAGTCTTCTTTGAATTCTAGGTAGGCATTATTGTGAGATACAGGCACTTGGTAGAGTTTGTGTTCTGTCAAATAACAGGCCAAAGTTGTACAAGTCGCTTTTCCACATCCGTCTATTCCAATCTTTGGGGGCAAAAATAAATAAATAAATAAAAATAAAATAAATCAACAAATGATTTCTATGTGTATTGTGGGAATCATTCTATGTAGAATTTTCTGTTTGTGTTAGAAATCGTAAAAACACTTGGATTATTTTTATAACCATATTGGGAGGTATTTTATACATAATCTAAGTATTTTATCAATTTCATGAGGCATATTCAATAATTTCTTGTTATAGTCCCTTGAAATATATGAGATGATTACATAGGAAAATAACATAATTTAGAAAAAATAACACAGATAGGCCTATAAATTATCATTACGTCACTGTTGATAACTGATTATCTATTTATAAGAAATTAGGCCTCTTCCAATTTATTTAGAACAATAGGAATTTAACAAATGCTCTTTGCCTTTTAAAATCTACTTTGTGAGGTATAATTTATAGACTATATCTGTTTTAAGTGTAAAATTCAATGATTTTTAGAAAATTTACAGAATTATACACCCACCATGATAATACCCCCTAAAAGATCCCTCAGTCCATTTGAAGTCAATTTCCACCTCCATTCCCACCCTCAACCCCAAGGAACCATTAATATGTTTTCTGTCTCTATAAATTTGCTTTTTTGAGACACTTCATATAATTGAAGACTTTTGTATGTGACTTAGCATGATGTTATTGAGGTTCTTTCATGTTGTAGTGTGTATCATCAGTTTGTTTTTATTACCTAATATTAGGCATCCTGGTGTGGTGCTGTGGGTTAATAAATCAGACTACAAAGTCGTTTAAACTGCAAGGTCAGTGGTTCAAGCTCATCAGCTGCTCCTTGGAAACCCTATACAGGGTTGCTATGGGTCAGAATCGACTCAATGGCACTTAACAACAACAATTATTTTATTGCTTGGACATAGCATGTTTTGTCCATTCATTCACTCACTAATGAACATTTGGATTATTTCCACTTTTAGGCTGTTATGAACAATGCTGATATAACTATATCTTTGAGTGAATATTTGTTTTTCTCTTGGGATTATAGGCATGGAATCTCTCAGTTATATGGTAAATCTATATAAGAAATGGCTGAACTGTTTTCCACAGTAGTTGTACCATTCTCCATTTCAGCCAGCAGTGTTTAAGAGTTTCAGTTTCTTACATCATTATCAACAATTGCTATTGATTATGTTTTGTTTCGTTTTTAAATGATACCCACTCAAGTGGGTTTGCATTGTAAGTGCTGTAGAGTTGGTTCTGACTCATAGTGACTCTGTGTAGGGCTTCTGGGGAATGGTTGGTGAGTTTGAACAGATGACCTGTTAACAGTGTAGTGCTTATCCAACAATGCCACATCAGGACTCCAATTGGGTGTGTATGATATCTTATTGTGGTTTTTTACTTGCATTTCTCTAATGACTAATCCTGTTGAACATTTTTTTTCATAGGCTTATTAGCCATTGATGTATTTTCTTTGATAAAACGTTTTGTCTAGCAAAAAAAAAAAAAAGATTATATATTTTAGACTAGTTTTATTAAAATTGTACAAAAAGTACAGAGTTCAAGTTAGCTAGGAGTCACTTATTTGGTTAAACAGTAATCTAGATAAACACTAGTCTAGATACTATTATAAAGAGTTGTTGTTGCTCTTAAGTGCTGTTAAGTTGGTTCTGACTCTTATCAACTCTAAATAGGGTTTCCAAGGAGCAGATGGTGAGTTTGAACCACTGACCTAGTGGTTCAAACCGACTTTAAAATCCAGTGTTTATTCTACAGTGCCACACCAGGACATGTGGATAAGCAGACTACCTACCATGATGTGGGTGGGCCTTGTCCAGTCAGTTGAAGGCTTTAAGAGTAAAAATGGGTTTTCCATAGGGTGTACTCAATCTCTAGATTATAAACAGATATTCCTCCATCACTCTTCACTCTTCCCATTTCCTGACATAGGGATTTTGAGATAAAATACTATAGGAATTTCCAGCGTGTCAACTGACCTTTGGATTTTGAGAAATAAAACTTTAGGAATTCTCAGACAGATTTTTGGGCTTGCTAAAATCCAAAAAACCAAATCAACTGCCATCAAGTTGATTCCAACTTGAGGATGTCATAGTACATCCCCTACAATTGCATGAACCAATTACTTAAAATCTATCTATCTATCTATCTATCTATCTATCTATCTATCTATCTATCTATCTATCTATCTATCTACTATCTCTATCTCTCTCTCTATCAACTATCTATCTATTATCTATCTACTATCTATCTATCTACTACCTATCTATCCATGTATCTATGTATCTATCCATCTACTATCTATCTACTATCTATCTATCTGTCTATCTCTCTATCTACTATCTATCTATCTATCTATCCATCTATCTACTATGTATGTATGTATGTATGTATGTATGTATGTATGTATGTATGTATGTATGTATGTATCTATCTATCTATCATCTATCTATCTATCTATCTATCCAGCTATGTATAGCTATCATCTTTCAATCTTTTGGTAAAATCTTTTGATGCACATAAATTTCTAATTTTTAGTGTGTTCCTATCATCTATTTTGTCTTCTTTTGTTTGTGCAATTTTTGCCATGTTTGACAGTCTATGTGTGCCCTGTTTAGATCCCTTAAATTTGTCACTATTTTTTTCATAGATGACCTTTATATTTCTGGGATTTACATTTAGTCTTTAATGCATATTGAGTTGATTTTTGTATATGGTACGAGATAAAAGTCTTGTTTCATTCTTTTGCATATCTATTTCCAGTTTTTCCAGCAGCACCTGTTGAAGAGACTACCTCCTTCCCATTCAATGTACTTTGGCCCTTTGTCAAAGATCAGTTGGCTGTATGTGGATGGATTAACTTTTGGATTCTCAATTCTGTTCCATTTATCTATGTATCTTTCATTGTACCAGTACCAGGCTGTTTTGACCACTGTAGCCATATAGTAAAATTTGAAATCAGGGAGTGAGAGGCCTCCAACTTTGTTTTTCCTGGCAGTGCTTTGCTTATTTGAGGACTCTTTCCTTTCTATATAAAGTTTTAAATGTTTTTTTCCATATCTCTAAAGAGTGTCATTGGAATCTGGATTAGGATTACATTATATCTGTAGATTGCTTTGGGTAGTATTGACATTTTCCTAATATTAATCCTTCCTATCCAGGAACTGGTTATGAGTCAGGCTGCCAATGTCAAGGTCAGCAATTCGAAACTACCAGCGGTTCTGCAGGAGAAAGATGAGGCGTTCTGCTCCCGTAAAGATTTACAGCCTTGGAAACCCTGTGCAGGATCACTTTGAGTTGGCTGACTCCACAGTACTTAACAACAACAACAACATCCAGGAACATGGTATATTCATCCACTTTTGTAAATCTTTTTTGGTTTCTTGTAGTAGTGTTTTGTAGTTTTCTTTGTATAGATCTTTTATTCCTCTGGTTAGATTTATTCCTAAATATTTCATCCTTTGGGTGACTACTATAAATGGAATTACTTTCCTAATTTTCCTTACAGCACTGTCATTATTAGTATAGAGGAATCCACCTGATTTTTGTATGTCCGTCTTGTACCCTGCCACTTTGCTGAATCATCCAGAGTTCCAGTAGTTTTTTTGCTGAGTCTTTGGGGTTTTGTATGTATAGGATCATATCATTTGCAAATAGAGTTTTACTTCTTCTTTGACAATTTGGATCCCTTTAATTTCCCTATCTTGTCTTATAGCTGTGGCTAAGACTTGCAACACAATATTGAGTAGAAGTGATGATGAAGGGCATGCTTCCTGTTCTCAAAGGGAAAGCTTTCAGTTTCTCCCCATTGACAGTGATGTAGGCTATTGGTTTTGTATGTTGTTGTTGTTGTTAAGTGCCTTTGAGTCGGGTCCGACCCATAGCGACCCTGTACAGGGTTTCCGAGGGTGTAAATCTTTACGGGAGTAGAAAGCCTCATCTTTCTCCCGCGGAGTGGCTGGTAGTTTCGAACCGCTGACCTTAAGGTTCGCAGCCCGATTCGTAACCACTACGCTACCAGAGCTCCTTATATATGCTCTTAATTATGTTGAGGAATTTCCCTTTAATTCCTACTTCGTTGAGCGTTTTTATCAGGAATGGATGTTGGATTTTGTCAAATGCCTTTCCTGCATTAATTGAAATGATCATGTGGTTCTTTTCCTTTTTTATTAAATTTACATGGTGGATTACATTGATTGGTTTTCAGAGAATTCACTGATCACAGACAACAAACTAATGGAGATTACAAAGTAATGTTTTTTGGACATCCTGTATTTTTTTCTAAGGGAAACCAGTGAGAGCCAGAACTTGATGGAACTATTTTGTTTTTCAAAAAAATCTTGTTTTTCCAGGTAAGTTTTCTGTGTTTGACAGGGTGCAATTTTACCACTCTTCTATTGCTCATTTTAGTGGAAAACATTTGAGTTTTCTTTCTCTGAAAGACTTCTGTTCAACTATCACATCCTTTACTGTATTGTACTTAATTTCATGGGAGTGATTTTTTACTTTTTCACTATGTTCTTTAAATTGGGCCCTCTTCTCTTCATTTCCTGCATGTCTCACATTTTTTTAGCTGAATCAAGCACATTTGAGTACTTTGCTGTGGCAATTCTGTGTTTCAGATTCTTATTCTTTCTCCTCAATATTTTTTTATTTGTATTTATTTACTTCCTACTCACTCTAATGGACTTCTGGTATGGTGCTATTGAATAAGCACTGGACTGTAAACCACAAGGTCTGTGGTTCAAACCCATCAGGTGCTCCTCAGAAACCCTATACAGGATCTAAGAAATCCCTAAACTCCCCAAAAGATGTTCTAACCTTCTAACACTTTCAAAAGTGCTTTGTCAGAATTACTATGTAGCCATGGGGGAAGGTAGGAACTCTGTTTTGTTTGGTATCTGGGGATGCTTGTTGTTGTTCAATGCCATTGAGGTAGTTTAGATCATAATGACCCTGTATAGGGTTTCTGAGGAGCAATCAACCTTGCAATTCAAACTGACTTTGT